TCATTGAAGAGGTCCACGAAACCTTCAAGGTTTGAAGAGTGTTTGTGTGGAAGAATGGGCCAAAATCACACCTGAGCAGTGGTTATCTGGTTTCTCCATACAGGAGGTGTCTTGAAGCTGTCATTGACAACAAAGGCTTTTGTACAAAGTATTAGATAAATTTCAGTAAGCGTGTTTAATACTTTTTTTTTCCCCTGTGCCATTCCACATTATTACAAATAACTTCATTTCTGGACATTTATGGTTTGATTTCTTTGTATGTATGGATCACTTGGGTTGTTATCGACATCTGGTGAAAATTTCATGTCATTAGCACCTCTAGTAATATATTTACTGAGAAAAATGGTGACGTGTTCAGTACTTATTTTCTTCGCTGTACTTGCTCATTTTTCATGGCACCCATATTGCTCAGCAGCTTTAAGAAATTTTGGGACATTTTAAATCGAATGAGAATCACGATTCTGGTGTGAATAGATTTTTTGGTGCACCCCTAAAAGAAAAGTGGTCTGCTTAATTTTGTGTAACACCTTTTCATTAGTTTTTTCCTTTAATTGGACTCACAAGACAAACTATTCATCATAGATGATTAGAGTTCAGTGATCTAAACAGCCCAAAGACACACAAAAAATTGAATCTTTATGACACAACTTGCATAATAATTTGGAACATGTTGTAGATAAACGGTATATCACAGTAAATGCAGGAAAGTTTTGAAATGATTTGTCATACCTTTTTTAGTATAACAAAACCCTTTATTTTAACTTGTGTAATATTTTATAAACTCTGTATATGTTGACATATTGTATACAAATAAACATATTTCTGTTGCAATCTAGGTTGACAACAACATCACCCGTCACTTGGACAGCACCCTTAAGAGAGATGACTGGGACATTTTGATCCTCCACTACCTGGGCTTGGACCATATTGGCCACATCAGCGGACCCCATAGCTCACTCATCCAACCCAAACTGCTGGAAATGGACGACATCCTGAAAAAGATCCACAGTTCTCTTGTCTCAAAGGTAAAGTTTTCTTAATGTACATAACGTTACTTTTAGTGTTTCCTTCAGAGACTCCTTCAGAGTTTCGTTGAGTCTTTAGTTTTAACTTATAGTAACTATCATACAAGTAAATTGGAGCAATAAGCTGTTGAACAGCCAGCTGTTTTTATTTTGGTTTAGCTGTTTGATGTGTGAGTGATTGTAAGATAAGCAGTGAATTCTTTTCTCAGACCAAAATACTCAAAGATGAGGAACAAGACAAGATAAGATAACTGTAAGAAAATACGTGTTTAATAACGGCTGAAGTCAGATAAAAACACCAGTGTTAAATAAAATGATCTCTGATAAGAAATAAATGCCATACAACACCAGAATTTCGGAGTGAGGTTTATTGCCACCAGAATGACAACCGAAACCACACTAACTCAGAAACAGGAAGTCACTTTATCTTCAATGCCTGAGTTCGCCCTCTGGTGGCCTACGGCTGAACCCCAGGCATTCAGACAAACAAACTTCACTCTTGTAAGTACACATGTATATGTGTTGTTTTAATGATTCGGACCTGTATCTACACATAATATAACAAACATTATAAAAGTATTATAAAATAAGGAAACCCTAATACTCTGGTGTTGTATGTAATCAGTACTGAGCTATAATAAACCATAAATTTCTTCAAAAAGATAAAAAAAGATGATGGAAATTATTCT